CGTCTGGCTTTGAGTTCTCACCAACCTCTATTGCCTCGCCATTACTTGTCACCCTAAACTTTTTCTTAAATTTATTCATTACGGTCTATTTTAGAGAAATCATGTACATGACATTTAAAGAATTTTCTTCTACATTTATAAATAACAAAACTTTTCCTTGTAGTAAAAAAATTACCACCTATAAATTGTCTCTGAAAAGATATGACTGGTGTATTTCAATCTGTCGACATAAAATGGGGAAGTTTTGATAGTTTGCTATACAAATATTAGAAATAACCCAACCCAAGAGGGGACCTAATTATGGTACAAATAATAATAGGAACGTTCTTACCCGTATCTCCCGATGATTCCGCAGAAGAATTTTAAGGTGTCATGGTGATGGAATATTCACCTAACGTGTCCAAGCATTTCTTCTTTAAATCTGAAGGAACCAAGAAAAGGAGGGTGGATACTTTTCATTGGACCACACTGTATGTGTAATTGAAACTCAAAGTGATATCAACTATCTTATTTTTTCTTGTAGCCATCATAATTCTCATCGTTTTGACCTTTCTTTATATAACTTAATTGAATTTTTAATTAAATAAAATATTTAAACATAAATAAATAACTACTCGCTTTATTGGTCTGTGATAAAAAAAAACAAAAAAAAAATAAAAACAAAAAAAAACAAGAAGAAACAAAAAAAAAACTACTATCTGGGTCTTCACAAATTAAATACAGGGCAGCGAAAAAGGGACTTTTTTGTAATCCCAGTAAGTGTAAAATGATCTACTTTCCGCAAGCAGTTAAACATTATGAAACTGGTTTCGAAACATTCATTATGCGACCAGTTTCGAAAAGAAAACAAATAAAATAAACCTTTTTTTGGTTTTAAAATCAATAATACATTATTATTGAAAATTTATATTAAAGAAAGGCAAGTTGACTTATAAAAATAGAATTTAGTTAAACTTACAACCTTATAATAATGTTGTTTTGGTCCTTATTTTTCATTCTAAATCAGCACAAAATATTTAAAAAATGACAAAATAACTCACTTTTATGAAAACTAAATAACTTTAATAAGCCATATAACCACAAGTCGTTGAGAACAAATTAATATTGGTTGTCTAGATGTCAGGAATTTTTTATCGAAAAAAAAAAAACACATTACGAAATGCAGTATAATGTAACTCGTTCGTGTTGCGGGGCCGCCGTCTGCTTGTTCCTCAAATATTCACTCGTTACATAAAATAAGGCATTTCGTAACTGGTTTCATAAATAGCTATTTGGTAACCAGTTTAATAATATTTAACATTAATCATTTTGACACTCGCTGAAATTATAAAAAACTTTATAGTATTTTTAATCCTTTCCTATAAGACACGGCTCTGAATAAAATTGTTCCATTATTCTCTGAAATAACCACGATTTTATCGATCATATATGTGAATTATTTAAGTGTCTGAAATAGCCTTGCATGTGTGTGATTTTTTAAGAAGTTTACCTGTCGGTTTGAGGGATGAGTCATCGCTATTTTTACCGGAAAAAGAATAACACTAAAATAAATGGGGAGCTTAGAGATTGTTATAATTAAACGAATTAAATCGTCACTGTCAGTTTACTGTTTTCTTTTTCTTTTTTAAATATTAACAGATTAGGTCTATGTAGTTTCATTAAACTGGTTCCCCTAATACAACAATTATTTTTTATATACAATTACTAATGATATTTTATCTTCGAGCATATATATTTCATGCTCGAAGTATTTTATGGATAGTATATTTCAAGAATAACGATGACTAAATTCTCAGAATTGTCAATGTCAATTCCCTTTTTAGCATATTTTTTAAAAGAAGGGCTCATGGATTGTAATAATTTCAACCCCGTTGGCATCCTCCTGAAGCCGCCCTCGATTAGAATCTTTTTTTGATAAAAACAATTTAATATTAAAACAATTTGTATTTAAAAAAATTTAATCAACGGAAGATGATATTGCCGAACTAACGAAAGAAATGTATTTAGGTCTGAATAAAAGTGAACCATCTCTGGCTGTCTTTCTGGATCTTGCACAGGCTTTCGATACTATTGATCACCGGCAGTTATTGGAATTCCTAAAAAATTCAGGAATAAGAAGTAATGCTTACAATTTGTAGGCAACAATGAGTGGTATGAATAAAAACGAAGTAGATGCTAATGCTACAATTTTAAGGATCTACTACGAAGTTTTTGCGTCATCATAAAGCATCTGGTCAGTTCCGGTAGTATTTGCATAACGTCTAAGTATTTACTACACTGCTTGCAGTATCTACTTTTATAACGTAGTATTTGCTTCAAAATGTCTAGCATCTTCCCAGTTTGACTACTGCTCGAGAAATAGCAGGCTCTGACAAGTTTCTAAGTGTTTGTTTCATTTTTATTAGAAGAAATGCCCCATCAAGACGAGTCCCAATAAAGACTTACAATTAGCTTTTGTTATAATGCTAGAAGATCATAAGATAATTCTGGATAACAAAATGACACCTGCTATTAAATCTGCAAAAGAAAAAGCCCTTAAAGAATTAACGGAGATTTATAACAGCAATATAAAACCAAACTTAGATATTAAACAAGTATTAAAAAAAGTTAATAATATGAATACCAAAATAAAGAAAATTACGGATATGAAGAAAACAGGAAATAAGAAAATAAAATTAAATGAATGCAAGAAAAGTTTTATGACCTATGGAACGGAAATGAAAATTCAGTAATTTAAAGAGTTCCAGGAATACTTACACGCTATTTTTGTAAATTCATTACAAATACGTAATGTAATAATGTAGTATTGTAGTATGTGTGTGTATGTAGTATGTATCTAGTATATGTAGTCTATTATTGTACGTAATTTGTATTGTAACACGTTTTTAGGGGGCGAAAATGTACATCGATTAAGTGATTAAGAGGATGGGACACTACAAATAAATACTGCTATAGCTGAAGAAAGGGCCGCTATAGCCCAGGAAAAAGCTGCTACAGCTGTAGGAAAAGCCGCAGGAGCTGTAGAGCAATTTGTAGAAGATTACTTTGCACAACAACATTCGAGCATTTAAAATAATTCAAAAATAAAAACTTATCTGTGTCGTTTTACTAATTAATTGTTTTTGTTAAATGAGAATTGAGGTTTACGTTCTATTATTTTATACTTAAATAAGTTTATTAAGTTTAATTATTGTAATATAGGTTTCCATTGAAATATAAAATTAAAACTAACAAAACAATATTTATTAATTTAATGTTTTAACGTTGTCTGTACATCAGTTCTGTAATTTCATTACGAAACTGGATACCGCGGAAATATCTCCTTTTCAACTGCCCAAAGCATCATTCTATTATATTATTATTATATTTGAAAATGGATTATATTATTATTATATTTGAAAATGGTTCTGGAGTAGATATATCCGTAACTAAGAATTTTATCAAAATTAATAAGTGCTGCTTTCCTGTCCTGTTTATCCCACTTGAACTTCAAATCTATTAGAGTTTCCCGTAGTTTTGTCTTTCCCATTTTAGGAAAATACGGATTACTACTGATTGCGTCCAAAACCTTAGCAAGTGTGGGTATCTCTTTTTTAAAATAAAATTCGTGAACTTTTCTTCTTATTCCGCTTTTAATTTGTTCAGTAAATTCCACTTTTTTCTTACCTCCTGTATTTTCTTTGGGGATTTAAAACAACTCCACTTTTTAATTCACTTATAACTTTATATATCGTTGATTTGCATACACACAAACGAAGGATTTTCCATTCTTAGGCAATTATAAACATTGCTCATAAATATTTTCTCGTTAACTGAAAACGCATACTTTTTTATACGTTTCTCAGGTATAAACTTTGAATTTGAACCACACTGAATTTTTTAATAATACAGACACTATTAACCGAAAATAACCACAACTTCTTATTGTAATAGATAACATAGAAGGCTAATCAAACAGGATAGGTAATATTGGAAACCTTCATACCAAATCCTAGGTAGGTAAACATCTTATAATCCCACCCCCTTGTTATCATTTTGGTTTTTCAATGGCATCAGTAATATCCAAGAAGATGATAAAATAACGATTAACCCTTAAATTATAGATTTTCTATAATCTAAGGATTTACATCATTTACATTTTTAATACAATTATAGTCACATTTATAGAATTTGAACCCTCATATTACTTTCTATAATCTAAGCTGAAACCTTTCTTTCAACTTGTCATTAACATTAACCTTGACATCAAAAATTTTCAAGAAATCAATAATCAATAACTATTTAAACAATTTAATGTAGGTATACCTAATAGTCAAATTTATAGGCCTTGAAAAATATTTGTTATATACCTTGTTGTTAATTGTCTTAAACAGATATAACTCTACCATTTACATAACAATTGCAAATAACTCAAAAAACCTTTTGTAAAGCATCTACATACCGAAATAATACTCACTAATACATATTCAAAAAAATATATTTTTAAATGATGATTTTATTTACCCCGTAAATAATAATATAGACTTCCACACCTGAAATTTCCTGATCTGGTAGATTTATTACTCCGTGTCAATTTGAGATTTTACTATATGTTAATCGCAATGAAATTTTTATATTGATCTTAAACCACTGCATATTTGTTTAAAGCTTTTTTACTGTTTTACAACTTCATTTTATAATTATTCCCTGTACGAGGATGGGATTAAAAGTTTCCGGCCTAACCTATAGTAGGCCCGATTTGCTTTCCTGTTCCAACGTGTCTGTGTAGTCTTGCTTGTCGTCAGTATATGCTCGAAGTTTAAAGTGTGTCCTGGTTATTTTAAAAGCTTATAAAGTGCGCAACTTTTAAAAGATGGAAAAAACGAGATAAGAGCGGTGATAAAATATTTCCATATCAACGGATTATCGCCGACGGAAATAAAAGCTGAACTAGATGCTACACTAGGAGAATCTGCTCCTTCATTTACCACAGTTAAAACTTGGGTAGCGGACTTTAAACGTGGTCGTACTAGCACTAATGCTGCTCCGCGTTCTGGCAGGCCAAAAACGGAAACTTCTAAAGAAATGGTGCAAACCGTTTACAAACTAATTCTAAAAGATCGCAGATTAAAATTGGAAGAGGTAGCTGAGGCTGTGGGCATATCAAAAGAGCGAGATCACTATATTTTGTGTGAAGTTTTAGATATGAGAAAGCTATCCGCCCAATGGGTGCCGCGTTTGCTCACGTCAGATCAGATGCTCAGGCGGCTAACCATTTCAGAGGAGAATTTGGCACTATTTAGACCTGATCCAGGGGACTTTTTGCGTAGATTTATTACGGTTGATAAAACATGGGTTTATTGTTATACCCCTGAAAGTAAACAACAGTCCAAACAGTGGACGGCAAAGGACGAACCAGTTCCAAAGAAGGCAAAGGCAGTACTGTCTGCTGGAAAGGTCATGGCAACGGTCTTTTGGGATACTCCTAATAGATTATCTCGAAAAGGGAAGAACAATAAATTCCGAGTACTACAGCGATTTACTGGACCAGCTTAAGCAGAATATAAGCGAATATAAGCAAAAACGATCAGGACAATGCACCTTGCCACAAGTCCGTTCTTGTAATGGCTAAAATTTATCAGCTAGGCTTCGAACTGTTAAACCATCCTCCGTATTCGCCCCGTCAGACTTATTTGTTTCCAAACCTAAAAAAATTTCTTGCTGGCACTGAATTAGAAGTAATTGCAGCCACAAACGCCTATTTTGACGAGTTGGATAAATCAGACTACAGTGACGGTATTAAATTGCTTGAACATCATTGGGTTAAATGTATTACCCTACAGGGGGACTATGTAGAAAAATAAATTCTTATTCAATCACTATTGTGTTGCGTTCTATGTTAGGCCGGAAACTTTTCATCCCATCCTCGTATAAATGTATTTGTATAAATATTATACAAGGTGGTGGCAAGCTAAAGTTGATGGGCGTTTGATTAAAATTGAAGAAAAATATTTTTTCCATTTCTGTGTATATTGAGTTTTAGAAACTTCGCACATAATTTCAACCCCATGATTGAACGATTATGTATTCACGGTTGAAATAGTACGCGAGGGCATCCACCGGCCGGCCAAACTTCCTTAGCACACCCCCACGTCTACAGACCATGGAGAGGCACCCGGCACAACCAGTGCCGGTGGCACGCACTCCATCGACAACCTGGATATGTCCATGCTTGAGCGAATTCTTGTCATGAGGGCAATAATAGCGATTAGTATACAGAGTAGAACTAAAATAAAAGACCACCGCAATCTTTATATTGGTTTTTGGGTACTGACAGAATTTGTTTAAATTTAAATACGTTATTAAAGGTAACTTTCTTATGGACACCAAGTTTGCAGCTCTATAGGGTGAGCTGTTAGAAGGAGTAAAAATTAGGGGGCACAATAAAATTCACCAGTAAGAAATAAATACGGCACAAAAGTGTTCAGGTATCAAGGCCGCTCTAGCCTTATTGTCACCCCGAACAAACAGACAATTTGCCGCCCAATATACATATATATATAGGGAATATTTTTTATTGCTCAACATAGGGTATATTAAATCTATGTTTGATTAACATTGTCTCGCGTTTGTTTTTAAATAGCACACAGGTGTTCACAAAGTCCATTTGATTTACATTTATCTAAAATTATCATGAACCAGTTTTTGAAAATAAAATAAAAATTATGTTAAAATCATTTATCTAAAAAAATATATATAATTCATAATCGACATTTAAAAAGGACAAAACTTAAAAGTACTTGTACATATAAGGTGCATTTTTATTGCTATACTTAAAATACAATACAATACACAAAAAATTATTGTATAACCAAACAGGGAAATTTTACATTCTATACAATTATAACTATACAGATAGCAATACTTAAGGAAGCACTTAGGTTTGGGGCACAATTTGTTATTAATTTTAGAACAGTGCCTGAACTTTCTTTTTTGCCCATAAGCAAATTTCTTCTGCTAATTCTACCCGATTAATATCAACAGAATTGCCGTGAGTTAAAATACTTTCTAGATCGTTGCAATATTTTAAAAGATTGTCTTTAGACATGCCCTTTAAATCATATGTATTATATAAAAATGAAAATAATTACTATGGTGACTAAGTTGTTTAAATCTACTATTTCATTTAGTGCCTGGTCAATTGTAAAATAAAAAAATCTACCATTTAATTTTCTTTAGGATTCTCGATCGGTTCATATCGTGTTTCGTATGAAAAATTCTTTTTTTTTCTTACGCGATGTCGTGGTATTGTTGATTCAAAATTGGATTCAACGTCAATTTCGTCAGCTAGTTCTCTCGTATCAACAATAGTTTCATTAAAGGATTTATCCGATTGAAGATCCTGAAAAAACTTTTTGCATCAAGTGCAGATGCTAGATCATAATATTTTGTCTGCAACAATTTACTTATTGGATTAATACAGTTTAAAATTGTATACCAAAGAACTATTCAACACAAAAATTTAACTTGTTTTTTATAACTTAATAAACCCGAGGCTTCGTCCCTTTAAATGATCAATTTATTCATTCTCATAAATGCTTAGCAAGGCGCCGTATACGCCTCCGTTATAAAATCTTAAAGGCTTTAAAGCCTATATCATACTCTCCCATCTAGTATCACTTAATGGTTTTAAAGTCAAACCCTGGACATGTTTTAGAAGAATTGCTCAGCGAAAAGTAGATGCTGAAAAAAA